CCCCCCCCGATGAAACTAAGGTGCAAGGATTCTTTCAGCACCCAAACGCCGCTTTCTACCCGGAAAAGCTCACCGGAAGCACTTTTTCATCAAAACAAGATGGCGGCGCCCAGCAAACCAGCGGCCTGGTAGAAATTGTTCCACGGACCGGTACCGGTCCAGGGACCGGTGGTTGGGGACCCCTGATTTAAATAATCCAAAATTGTAAAGCACTTTTGTTATATAACCCAACTTCCTATTTCCATAGGAAGGTGGCAAACAACCTCTGAATAAGAACAATTACATACAATACATAGTAATAATTCTGTATCTTAATTTGTTTTAGCATACACATGGTATGCTAAAGGGCAGATAGGCTAATTGGCTGAGAAATATACAGTTTTTATTAGTTCTCATAAGTTTTTTTTAATATAATTGACATTTTCCAAAAGTACTTTATTATTACCAGCTAAAATGATACAAACATAAATCCAAGCAGGGGCAAATCCATTCCTTTCTTGATGTAATAAAATTAACTGAATTAAAGTTCAATTTTAAGATTATATTTTTCATTACATTCCAATGGATTTTACGTGTTGCACAGCACAGCACAACCTAACACTTTATGTGTAGCAACCTCTATGAGAATGTAGAGGATACTAGCTTTGTTTCAAGCTTCCTTGGCAAAGGCTGACACTAAAAATAATAGGGGTTGGATATATATTATGGGAAGCTGTTTTGGCATTAATACAAGTGCTTTAAATTAAATAAAAAGTGTACTCTGCTTTGTGCACTTTACAGTAGAATACAAGCAGTTACTAAAAGATAAAATAAAGTTTCAGTTCATTGTAGCATATATCTAAAGCAATGGAATATTACATTTTGACAATAACTTGTAATTTACAGTTTTATTACATATAAGCTATGCATTACAAGCCATAGACACTACATATTAGGCTATGTAGTGATACCATATGGCAATAGCATTATGACCGAACAAACATTTTAGCTATCTTAGTCCCAGGCATCTATGTAATAACCTTTTACTGCCAACTGAGATTGTTTGGAATAGTTCTATTAAGTCCTGCTAAATAGCAATGTAATGAAAACAAATGTTTGTGTGACTTGTCTGATGCATTGCTTTCATCTATATAACTCAAAGTACAAATCACAGAGTCAATTACAGTTCAGTAATATGGATTATTTTTCGTTGTTTGTTTTGGATGGAAGAGTGGTGCTACTCTTGGGAATTAGAAGAACATGAGGTGATATTTGGGTGGCATGATTATTACTGGTATGAAAAAGTCAAAATTAATGTGGATTTTAAAAATTATTATATTAGACATCCCATACTGAAAATATGGAATAGATATACTGTAAACCCAAGTTGTTCCAGAAAACACCTTTGTGGTTCTCCCACACCAAGCATTTAATAAGCAAGACAAGAAATGACTAACTTATCAAGAGATTTTTGTCAAGAAATGGTGGCAGAGGAATATTATTGTCAATTGTTTTCTTAACTATATTTATTAGAAAGATTTAAAATAAAAATATTTATGGCTTTGACACGATGAGGCTGAGTTCAAAATAGAATTGTGTGCAAATAATAAACATTTGCTAAAATGATGAAAATGCAATTGCTTGAAATTTGAATTTTATTGAATCTGAAACAGAAGAACAAATGAAAGAATAAAGTGGGCTAAAGTATATTTTAGATGGAACAATGGGAAAATGTAGTTGAAAGAAGCAAAATTAATACTATATTCTCATCTTAAAGAGAACTCTTATAAAACAATGAATATATCACCAGACAAATTGCCTCTGTGATGTATTAAAGGCACTTCAAATTTATGTTGCAAATGTGAAGAAGAAGGGACATTTGGTCATGCTTAGTGGATGTGTAAAAAAGCTTAAAAATGGATTCAAATACATTTACTGATTCAGAGAGTTTTAAAGATAAATACACAATTGAGATCAGATTTTTTTCTTTTCAAAGCAATGGACAAACAGTTGGAAAAAGGTCATGGAACTTTGCTTTTGTATATGATAACCACATCAAGATTATTGTATGAACAAGGATGGAAAGATTCAGCATTACCCATAATGGAGGTAAAGATGATGGAACTTACTGAGATGGCTAAATTGACTTCTTTGATCAGAGAAAAGATGGTGTATATATGTTTATTGTTGACTAGAAACCCCTTTATGGACTTTTTGTATAAAAACAGGAAAAAATGAGCTTATTATTTATGGTTTTATTAGGTAGGATAGATTATAGAAAGGATAGAGTCATGTATCATTTGGTATGATGGTGGAGAAGAGGAGTTATTCAATTGTCTGTTGAGTAGAATGTCTGAATCAATATTAATATGAATGTCTTGTGGACACCTGGACTGGACTGGATCGTATCTTGACATTTGTATTTAGACTAGACCTCTGGATTTTCCTCCTTTTGTGTGTGTGTGGCTTTTCAGCTGGTATGGAGTTGGAGGATAGACTATGTTTGCTCATGGCTGCTCTGGCCATATTTGCTGCATTGCCTGGCAACTGGTGGACCCAGAGGGTTTCAGAGGGAGCTGGAGGTTGTTCCTGCCAGTCTGCTGCATGGTCCTTCCTCTACTGATGATATCCAGTGATGTCATATCTCTTCTCCTGAAAAATTAAGCAATGCCATGACTGTGAGCATCTGGATGGGGAAAAATGGGCTTCAGTGACAGTCATAGCTAGAAGCTTTGTACAACTTTGCATTGTGTGTCAATTGTCAATTGCACCTGTTTCTGGATCAGGAGACTCTGCTCACATTCATTTCCTGGTCATCTCCTAGTTGGACTACTGTGATCTACATGAGGCTTCCCTTTCAATACTATCCAAAAGCTTCAGATGATACATGCAGTGGCGCAGGCAGGCATGTGCATTTCCAAAATAAAACATATTACACCTCTGCTCCACAAACTGTATTGGCTGCCAGTTTTCTACTTGTTCCAATTTGAGGTGCTGATTTTAACCTTTAAAGCCCTTCATGGCATGACATTGGGCTATCTGAAAGACTTCCTATCCCCAACTATAACAGCTTGTCCCATTAGTTGTGGCAGAGAAAGAATATTGTGGGTACCATCTGCTAGTCTTCCATTTGGGGCTTCTCTGCTTGTGGGACCTACCTTATGGAACGTTCTCCCCCACACCCTGAAATCAGGTCAACCCATCCTTGTCAATGTTCACAAGTCCTTGAAGATCTGATTATGTCACCAAGCATCTCATGGAACTTCCATTCCAGGGAACCAAAGACATTCTAAGATGGTCCCATTACGGTATTTGATATAATCACTCTTTGTGCTGTGGTTCAAATATTTTTTAATTTGTATTGATTATTTTTATATATTTGTTGTTTTATGTGATTGTTGTATGCCACCCAGAGTCACTCCCAGTAAGATCAGCAGCTATATAAATTTGATTAATTTAATAAAATAAATATCAGATTTTCTGTAAAATAAAGAAATTTAGAATTTTAAAAGAATTTCAGATTAACAACTTTTAGTTGTAAGATTAAAATAAGCTAAATCTTTTTCCATTTTATAATAAGTTCTGTAAAATCAAGACTGCAGAACTGTATGTCAAATGAAATGTTAAATAGCAAAACTGAGGTGATGATTTCTAGGCTAGTCTGTGAGCTCCTCTTTCTTAGAAGATCAAGTACTCTAATGTACTATTCTAGAAATTCCATTACTTCATCACGAGTTTTCACGCTCATCAGTAAGACAACTACTTGCATACTATATCCTGAACTCAGTGTAAAATAAATATGTGAAATAGTTGGTGAGTGATGGCAAACTGTCATTGGAAGAATTCCCCTCTTACTCAAGTTCACATTGGCCTGAATCCATGGAAATGCTAAGTCTTCTAAGCTGCATGGAGATCTGCTATCAAAATCTGGCATCAATGTAGAATTTTATTAAATGCTGCATGGCATGAGCATGCATGAATTATTACTAGTACTTTAAATACAATTTCTCCCACACAAAGAATGAAATTTGCATAATACAGTTTGTACAATACTAAATAAATAAACTTAGTCTTAGAAGAAATATATGTGATTTAGTATTTACAAATTTTAAAGTAAGGATTTATTTATTTAGAGTACAGAAAGGATCTACTTCATATAACTATAGTTTTTTGCAGTATCAAATTACCATTGAACCCAGGACCTAGGTTATTCAACGAAACTATGTGTGTCAATATATTAGCATATTAAGAAACTGCAAGCTGTTATCTTCCATGCTAAAAAAATCTTCCACACAACAGAACAGCTTCTTAACCAGCCTTTTCCTATATTTGCCTCTGATGCCCAAATAGCTATGCACTGTCAATTTGAATACAGTTACACAGTAATATTCAATAATATCCAAATATAGCTGCCAGAAGGTAAAATTAGCATCCTGACTTTTCCTTCATTATCTTCATGAGTCTTTAGATTTTAAACAAGCATAACTTGATTGGCCACTATATGCAACCAGGAAAAAAGTTTAAATATCACTGAAATTTAAAAAAAAGTTACTTTACAAAGTTACAATAGTATAAATAGAACGGGAAGAGGAAAACTATTAGTGACTAATATCTAGATTGCTGCAGTCTCATGCAGGTAAAACGTTAAGTTGAAAACCAATAAAATAACTGGAATTTTGATGCTATAAAAAATTAAAAACTTTTAACAGAAATTATAAGGGTTATTGATTGCATTTCAATAATATTTCATATTTAAAATAATATTCCTGACAAGAAATACAATAAGTAAATTGTGTTGACCAAAATATACAGTAATATGTGCGTTACATATGTTTATTACATACATATAAAATAAATCTAATAACATATACAATTTTAGCACTTGAAAAAATGCCATCAATTTTACATTGTGAGAAGTATTACAGACTGTGAAAAACTTGACTTTGCTTTAATTTTTATCAATACAGAGGTCATTATTTGTACAATTGGATCTAAAACATCAAGTGAAGAGACTTTTTAAAGGTAGTGTTCAGAAAATGCTTTTTCAAGATTTTATGCAAGAATTCAGCTTCACCCATCACAATAGTCCTTTACTTTGTTTGTTTTTTTTAAATTCATACAGGTCAAATTTTTATGGAAGTCCCTACTGGGATTTAGTTTCATTTTTCTCACATAATGTTTTAGTGCAAAATATAAAACATTATTTCTGCATCTGCAAGGGCATCCTTAGATAGACCACATAAAGTCTCTTATGTCTTTATTGTATATCACAGTAATTCAAACAAACAGAAATATATATTTACTTGTTTTATGGATTATTTTGCTGATGTTTTATATCAACAATTACTGTGTCCCATTAATTCTTCCATTCAACTCCCTTGTTAACTTTGAATGAAGTAGCGTATATATATTTTAAAAAATAAGAATATTTGAATGAAGCCATAAGTATTATGGACTATTTAACATGTATATCTGTGCTTGCAGGAGTGTAAGAATATACACTGATTAAGAATGTACTTATTGCAAAAGAATTAAAAGAATTTAACATACCAGTAATCGAAGTACAACTTTATGTGGTAGAAAAAGACAAGCCCATGTGGCGCACCATATACTCAGAGTAAATAAAAAATTAACATTTATTTACAATATAGTATTTTGTGTGTATATATAATAAACAAACCTTGTAATATATCAACATTTTATTTTACAGTATTGTGCTCATTAATTTGACCAACTGTATGTCATTAGGCAAGCAAGGTTGCAGTATGGTTATAATAATTTTATAATAAAGTACCAGTTTTGCTTTTGTAATCTTGTCAGTAGATATTTGCTACAATAAGGACCACACATAAGCACACACAAACTTTAATTAAAATTTCCATGCTTGTGAATAATTAATAAACTATAATTGAGAATCCTATTTATTGTGTTATATGTGTCATGAACTTTAATGCCTGAAATCCTGTTGGTCTGTATATTTCTACTACAGTATTCAGAATAGTTACATTGCAGTATTCTTATTTTGGATTCTTGCAGCAAATACTTAGGATTGCATATTGAATCTATTGTGATAGCACCATTGCCAGAAAATAATTAAAGTAACAATTATAAAAGGAATGAACAGACAATGAAGTTATCATAATTTGTGGATTTATCTACTCTGTGGAATTTCATCTTATCTGTTTTTATACTATCAAATCAATTCAAGTGTTTGAGGATAATTCAGTGATACTCATCATTCTGCATTTTGCCAGAATATCCTCTAGTGTAAATACAACAGTAAAATAAATTGTTAATACTATATACTATATTAGTAAACTCCTTTTAATTCTTTGGAATACGAGGAGGAGTTACTTTATCTATTTTTATTTGTTGAACTTAATATATGATTATAGTGTTTGCATAAATGAAAAGATAGCTCTTTTCATAGCAAGTAAATCATAAAATCTTGAGGGATTGATTGTAGCTTATCATATTCACTGATTAAAAAACACCACTTGCATTAAAAATGTCTTTCAGTTCTTATATTGTACTTTGCCTGCTAGGAAATCTTTACAATAGCCTAAAATATAACCTGTAAGAGGTAGGCCTATTGTTTAAAAATTCACAGTTTCCAAAATTGCTGAAGGGAAATATATACATATATTGGTAAATTCCACATTTTATGAAGCAGCAAACTTAATGCAGAATTCATGAGCAGCCACAACGATCTACTACCATAGCTGGTATTTTTCCATATATTATTTGTTCTTTTCCATTGAAATATAGCATATTTATTGGGGACATCTTTGTAGGTGTGCAGCAAGGGCCTGCTGAACCCCTTGGATTTGCTTGATGTACCAGATGAGTATGTGGATATTTTTGTAAAAATACAAATTCACATTCTCCAGAGCAGTAGTTTGCTTTATATCTTTTGGGTGCGATAATCCAGTCCCATCCAAAGGCTTCAAAATCCACTGTCAATGGGTAACGACAACATCGAGATTCTGTTGACTGTTCGTCACAGTCAAGCCCAAAATCTCTACGTGATCTTTTTGGCATATCTGTAATCTTGACCTCTAAAAAAGGATTCTATAAATAAAAGAAAATGAATAGTATGTTGGGAAAAGATAAATTACTCAATTTACTCATACATAAATTACTCAAATTACTCATACAGGATCCATTTTTTCTACATATTCTCTGGTATTTAAATACTATCATCTTTGAATGTTCAACTTTCACTACAATTAATAATCCCTTGCAATTGATTCTAATAATGTTTCAATAAACTTTATTTTTGTAGATAATTTTAAAATTTGAACTGTAACAAACATCTCTTATCCACTGAATGGTATCTAGGAACTGCACAATACTTCTAGCCTTGAGTTTCTTGAGCAGCAGCACCCTCTAGTACATGGTAATCAAGTCTAGAAAACCAAATGTATTTTCATGTTGTTCAAAGAATAACAAGAATAACCATTGTTTTAATAGAAGAACATTTTTTCTCACTTCTTACAATTTCCCATGTTTTCCAACCTGTTCCAAAGGACCCCTCATTTCTCTGAAATAGAATAAAGGGTGAATGGGGAACTGTATGGAGAGAAATTTCATCCCACAAAGAACATCCAGTCTATTGAAGTTTGAACATAATTTAAATATTCCCCTAGCAATTGTCAAGTTTTAAGCAGAGGATCATTTAATTACAACTATTTTCTTTATTGTCGATCATATATAAGAGAATGAAAAGAGTAGTAAAGGGGGAAAATAGATTAAGTATTGGTTACTTAATTTTAAAATCTGTATTTTTCTGTGTTCAAAATATTGATAAAGTTTCCCAAATTTATCACAGACAAACAATGTACAGTATGTTTATATAATTTGCACTATGGATTTATCCCTCAAATAACAAATAGCAGTTCTGAATTAGATTTGTATTTTCTTTTCTTTGTATCCTTAAAGTATTTGTCTCAATCTTATCGGTCTGTTTTTCGGTCTGTCTGTCTGTCTGTCTGTGGCTGTAAACAGAATGGTACAGATTATCTAGTTACGAATCAGTTATCAGTTATATATACTTTCTTCAATGGAAATGTATGATTCTATGTCCACCTGTACTGTTATATTTACTTTTAAACTTGTTTAATGTTTTTTAAAATACTTAGAAGGTCAATTTCCCCACATTTAAATATTTATAAAAATCCTGAAGGCCATAGCAGTTTTTCCAGCTGAATCGATTTATTGCTAACTGGCTATAATTATTTTAAAACAGTTCTATTAATCATGTTTACTGTATTCAATTTAATAAAAAGGCTTAGCTAGCTGATTGGAATAGAAAAACTAAACAGTGTCTATTAGAAATGGAAAACTGAATTATACTTATTGAAATAGAATGTAATGAGTTTACAATTTTTGGTAGTTAATCAGTCACTGATGTTATAACTACTGCAGAATGAATAGTTACAAAAGAAACTGATGAGCAAATAAGCACTCCTTTCATTAAGTAAGATGAAACTCAAATACTTTGGCCATCTAATGAGAAGGAAGGACTCACTGGAGAAACGCCTAATGCTGGGAAAGATTGAGGGCAAAAGGAGAAGGGGACGACAGAGAATGAGGTGGCTGGATGGACTCACTGAAGCAGTAGGCGTGAGTTTAAATGGATTCGGGGGGATGGTAGAGGGCAGAAAGGCCTGAAGGAATGTTGTCCATGGGGTCATGATGGGTCGGACACTAACAACAACAACAAATCCTTTCCTTACCAATGTTATATCATATGAGATGTTAGATCTTTCAACGTTACTTTTCTACAACTTAATGAAGTGACTTCAGGATGTGCATTCTATTCAATGCTATACAATTGTAGAAAGGATAGGCAGTGTTTCTTTCTGTCAATTCCTCTCATAGTGGCAGAACCATAGTAAATCAGGTGAGTTAGTGTAGTCTAGTAAATTAGAATGGCAAAATACATTTTTAGAAAACATTAGACAATAATGTCACAGTCCTTCATTTAAATTAGTAACTGACAATTTTAATAGCTAGTAGATAGTTAACTTAACAGATAGTAGGGTGTACAGTACTTTTCTTCCATTATTTACTGTAGATATTTGATATTTTGCTCATAGTGGATGCTTGATGGTTAAATTTACTTTGAAAACAGTATTGTTTACGCTATTATATTAGCTGGGAATGTATTCATATGACACAATGCATAGGAATGAAAACCTGATAAATAAATTTAGCTAACAAAGGCTGTGCATAGCACTCTACATTCAGGCTTTGAAGCAGCTATGCATATCTTGCAAAAGATGTAGCTGCTTTAACAACTGAAGAAGAGATGTTTCGTTTGTGGCTCTCCATTGCGAAGCAGTTTTTTCTCAAGCTACCAGTTGCTACAATTGTAATAGCCTCTGATATCAGAAGCAGCATGCATGACATGTTTCAGAAAAAAACAATACAAAAAGGTTATTTGTTGCTGTCTGTTTTGTAGGGTTTTCATAGGTATCTTATTGTCTACTGTTGGAACCATGATTTTAAGGATATACATTCTGCTCTACATAATAAATATTATTAGCTTCATTGACAGAAAATTAATTTTACTCGATTAATTTGCCAGTGTTTTCCTACTACAGTCCTAAACAAAATGATCTGGAGATAAATCCCAGAAAGTTCAATGCCAAGTAAACATGCTTATAATCACTACCTTTAAAAAGCTCTGAGATTTTTTTCTGCTCATAAGTGACAAAAATGCTGAGGACTTTAAAGAGCTTACCAAGCCTTCTTCTCCTGGTCCTGGGTAGGTCACTGCAATATCTCTTCCCTTTTCATTCAAAGCTTTGATTTCAATGCCCAAGTTGGATTCAGGTTGTTTAAGCCAATTTTGCAAAACAGTTTTCACATCGATACTCTGCCAAATACCAGTGCCTGGGTTCATGTCAAGTTTCAAGGATCGAATTGCAGTCGAAGTTGTACCATCTTTCATAGGTCTGATGAGTCTCAGGATCTGCACAAATATTGTTGTAGGCCTCTGGACTTGTCTTAAGTAAATCCACAACTGGGCTTTAACTACTCTGTTATACTGTATTTTAGAACTAAATTTAAAGAAGCAACATTTGGGTTTTCCTTCCACAGATATAGGAAAATCAGCTATAAGTAAATGAATAAGAAAAAACACTTGCTTGCAAATGAAAAATATTTTTTAAAGTATAATCATTTTATATATATGAGCTTCATAAAATATCTTCAGAAATGATTTTCATGCTTGCAGATTGGCAGTACAATTGCAAAGAGACTCATTCTCAATTGTAGGAATGATCTATAAAGTATGCAATTTCAAAGATCATCCCCATGCCCCAATGCCCCACATTATACCTTGGTGCATATTAGCCCAAACCATTTCTTCCTACATTATGATTTTGCTATCTCCTTTCCACAAGCACTTGGTATAAAATTAATTTTTATGTTCAATCTCAACAAGTGTAATTTCTATGTAGAACCATTGCATCAAACTGTTTACCACAAAGGCACAAGACTTTTGCCATGGTTGCAAAAAAAAAAGTGGTTCTTTTTTTCTACTGAAGTTGATCACACTGAATAAAAAGCAACAGTGAAAAAATGCATATTGTTTACCACTGCAGAAGAAGGGAACCTGTGCCTTCAAGTATACAAATTCAACTCCCTACATCTCCAACTTCTACATCTCTCATCATGGACCATGTGGGATTGGACTTCCAAGAATTATTGATTTTTAATATCTGTGTACTCCATCCTTGTCACAGGAATTGTACTGGACTTTGGCATGCATGCTCTAATCTCTTCATTTAGTAAGAATCAAAATTAAATTATGGAAGTTTCTAAACTGATTCACAGTACTCATGCAATAATTATTTTAGAAATGGCCCTATGGAAACACATACAGGTAGTCCTCAGCAGTTCATTTAGTGACTGTGCAAAGGTACAATGGCACTGAAAAAAGTGACTTTTGACCATTTTTCACACTAATGACCATTGCAGCATCCCCATGGTCACATGATCAAAATTTAGATGCTTGGCAACTGGTTCATATTTATGATGGTTGCAGTGTCCTGGGGTATGGGATCAGCTTTTGCAACCTTCTGACAAGCAAAGTCAATGGGGAATCTGGATTCATTTAACAATCGTATTACTAACTTAACAACGGCAATGATTCACTTAACAATTGTTGTAAGAAAGTTCATAAAATGGGGCAAAACTCACTTAACAAATATTTCTTTTACCAACATAAATGTTGGGCTCAATTGTAGTCATAACTTGAGAACTACCTGTAGTAGAAAAATACAGAACTATGAAATGCTAAAAATAAAATATTCTAACTTTATTAAGTCTAAGAGATAAAAGAAAAATCTTGTAGGATAAATTCATTAAATCTTAAGAAAACTAATGGAAATATTTAATCCAAAAGCTGCAGAGTAAATTAAAATGTTCATGATACTAGCATCTGCATAGATTTTTTAAATTTATCTTTTGGCCTGGCATTTCATGTTTGCACTGTGCAGCATACTTGTGAAAAGTTACTTAAGAAGAAAACAGATTCTAAGTACTCCTGGGATTCTTTGGGAGTTTATTACTTAAAGTAACTGACCAGCTGTACAAGTCACTCTTTGAAAAAACCTTCAATCAAAATAGCAAGAGATATTGAAAGCTCTGTATTATATTTTCAGACTGATAAAGGTTGAGCATCTGAGCTCTTAACTGAATATTTATTAACATTAAGTATTTAATATAAACAAGATTGCAGAGAAGCTATAAGAGAAGTCAGATTGATTTTGCTTCTGCAGTAATAATACTTGTAAGTTATTATTTTAGATAAAATAACTTGTTTTATTTTTAATTATTTGGGCATGTCCAATCTAGTTTATGAATCCTTAAATGTAATTTCTGTTATCAAGAAACTAATGTTGGCATATAATGAAATGAGAAAAACAACTTACTTAAGAATACATATACATCAGCCTGCAAGATGTTTTTTTTATATGTGCCTTGGTGTGATATGGATCATATTAATAGAATCACGTCAATGTACACAAAACCATACCTGAAAGGCATGTATATGTGCTTGTAACTAAGTTGCTATTCTCAATAGTAGTAAGAGTACCAAAGTTGCACTGATTCTTTGACTCTTTTTATGCAGGACTCCGCCTCCTGATTGAGATGAGATTTGGGACTGGTCTGAAGGTTATAAAAGAGCACACCAAATTGCACAGCAGAGCTTTTTGCCTGAATGCCTTGCTGTGATGCAACAACAATGTTATAATCCTGGAAGTAAAATCCACTGAATTATATTCTTGAAAATAAACTCCCCCACATCTACACATTTAACATAATGAAAATTAAACAAAATGAATGGAATTCATTTTCATCATCAATGAAAATTCAAATAAATAGAAAAAAGTTTTTTTTCCAGAAGGCTTCTCCAATCAAAAAGATAAATAATTTTTGAAATGATTTGCAGAGAGTTTGTAACAAAAGCAATTTAATCCTTCTTAATACTTACAATTATTCTTAAATATATTTAGATTATTGCATTTAGATAAAATAGATGCTATTCTTAGTATTATATCAAATTAAATCTCAGTATAGTATATCACTGTTGTCTGCTGGTAGCAAATCTGTGTCATCTGGGCCTAAGTTTTCATTTTACAATATTTCATCATTGCCTTAAGTGTTATTTTGAAGACAGCTGCCATGTCCAACTTTAGCTAATGAAGAACATAAGATACTGTAATATAAATTCAGCAAAGATACTTGATAGGAGCTGTGGCAGATGCTTAGCACTAAGGCGATAACGAAGAAATGCTCATTCAATAAATAACTTCATTTCTTCTTAACACAACTAGTGTTTATGAATAATATTAAATATAGCACTGTTGACAATTAAGGAATGAGTTTCATTATGTGGCTATTAAAACTATATAGTTTGTGTTCACTGATGTCTGTTGACAAGCCCATGAATTAGAAAATGAAGTATATATAACTGTTGAGCTCAGGTTGTTGTGAATTTCTTGTATACCACTTAATTGATTTTCCAATCATTTCAGTGATTCAAGGGGAAAGGCTTCATTAGGACAATTTATCTGAAAGTGCATTCCAATGTTTTGAATATAATTACAACTGGAACAAGAATTCAGGGTGAAAACCTTATAGATTTTTATCTTGGTAGTGAATTGTAATCACTATAAGGTTAAATGCAATAGGTTCTCCAGATGCATGATGTCATAGTATCGATATGTTATTCTTGACAGGTTGATATTATGTAAATACAAAATAAATTAGAATAATTACAAAACATATACTGAAAGAACAAATCTGTAGAGGTAAACCCCCAAACTTTAACCTTAAATTGTCTATCGTGGACCTCACTCCATTCCTAAGAGGACTGTAAGGGGGTGTACCTACTGTCCCAGCGTGCCTACTGTCCCTGTCCTAACTGTTCCCATTTATTTGTACTCATTTATTATATATGTGTGTGTGTGTGTTTTCTTAAGTTTTCGCGGGTACTTACATGTATGGTATTCAGCTTTGTTCGGGTATTTTCCCACGTCATTATAGTTGTGCTTTTAAAGTTATAGCAACGAGATTCTGCTGAAACATTGCTACAACTTTAAAAGCACAACTATAATGACGTGGGAAAATGCCCGAACAAAGCTGAATACTATATCTATCTATCTATCTATCTATCTATCTATCTATCTATCTATCTAT